TCTCTCCACATGCATCCCGAGATAGTACTTTACCTTCCCAAGGTTCTTGCACTTGAAGTTATCCATAAGCTGCTACTGCACCTTCTCGATCTCCTTCATGCTGCTGCTAAAGAGAAGAATATCGTCCACATAGACCAGAAACAGCACCAGCTTCTCCCCCTCCCCTTTGAGAAAAAGGCTCTCATCACAGCTGCTGGTCCTGAATCGCATCTCCTCAAAAACAGCTGCCAACTTCTGGTACCAGCAGCGTGGTGCCTGCTTCAAGCTGTAGATGGACTTTTTCAGCTTGCACACCCTGCCCGTATCATCCTCATACCCAGGCGGATGCGTCATGTACACATCCTCCTCTAAAATCCCATTGAGGAATGCCGTAGATATATCCATCTGAATGACGAATTTCCCACTAACGGTTGCATCTGCCAAAAAACCCGGAATGTTGGGGGTTTGGCAGTGGAAGCAAAGATCTCATTGAAGTCCCGCTTCTCCTTCTGAATAAACCCCTTAGCCACCAGCCTACTCTTATAGATGGTGAGCTGTCCCTTGTCATCGGTCTTGATCCTTAGCACCCACTTGCACTGTACGGCTTTCTTCCCCTCACGCAGCACCACCAGCTCCCATGTCCTATTCTCAAGCAGGCTCTGGTACTCAGCATCCTTGGAAACCAGCCACTTCTCCCTATCTGGGCCAGCTAATGCCTCCTCCATGCTAGCTGGTTCCTCTGGTGCAGGGGCAAGAAAACAGTAGGCAGGTTCATCCTTCTCATCCGGATCATAGCCATGCGGTAGAATCAGCAATGCCTCCTCTGTCCCAAGCTGCTGCTCTGCTACATCAGCTCCTGCAGTCAGCTTCTTAGTAGCCATACGGGTACGTCCTGGCCTGGAGACGGGTGTCTCCCATCCCCTCATAAGAACACCCTTCGGCTTCTTAGTTTTTCCTTGCTGCTGCTCTCCTCCCTCAGATCCAGCAGCTCCACTAGTGCTACCGCTAGTCTCCACACCATCACCTCCACCAGCAGGTGCCTCCTGCACCTTCTCTCCATCACCACCCTCTGCAGCTACCTCCTCTCCCTCCTCCCACACACTATGAGTCAGGTCCAGCTGCATGGTGATCTGCTCCATCTGCTGGGACACCCTGGCCTCTGGCTGTTTCTCCCAGCTCCCATACATCATGCCCTCAACAAACTTCACATCCCTGCTGTCAAACAACACACCTTTGGAAGGTTCCCATAGCAGCCATCCCTTGCTCTCAGCAGCCAGCCCCAAATGCACACACTAGATTGCATTTGCCCCCAACTTACTGCGGTAGGTCTTGGGGACGTGGGCGACTGCCATGCAACCGAACACCCTCAGCATGTCCACCGGCGGCTTCCTCCCAAGCCACCTCTCCAACGGCACCCACGAGTCATCCCCAACCTTGGTGAGTACCCTGTTCCTAGCGACGGTAGCGTGCCGAACAGCATGGGGCCACATCAAGTTGCCCAGCCCAGATTCTATGAGCAGCGCCCTAGCTGTCTCCAGAATTGTCCGGTTCGCCCGTTCCGCTACACCGTTAGACTGTCGGGTATAAGCCGTAGTGGGCTCCCTAAGGATGCCCTGCTTTTTGAGCCAGGCCGTCATCTCAGCTCCAAGGAACTCACCACCCCGATCTGTCCTAATCCACTTCACCACACACTCCGCTTGCTTCTCCACGAATGGCAGCCAATCTTCCCGTATCGTAGAGGCGGCATGGTCCTTCTGCTTCAGCGGATATGCCCGCATAAGCCTGCTCCAATCATCCACTATGGTCAGAAAGTACCGCTTCCCCTTGTGTCCGTGAACAAGCAGCGGCCCCACCAAGTCCATGTGGACCAGCTCCAACAACTTCTTGCTCCTGCCAGCCAAACTATGGAAGGGGAAACGGGTAAACTTTGAGAGCAAACAGATTTCACAATTCTTATCAGGTGGCTTTCCGTTCAGCTTCAGACCCTTAACGGCTCCATCTTTCTCCAACTGCTTCAACAAGGGCATTGCCACATGCCCCAAGCGTCAGTGTGCCGTTGCCTAATCCGTCTCCCCAGATCTGGCCGACACTTTCACACCAACCCCTCCAACGGCATTGCACTCCCCCTGGGATGCAGACCCCTCTCCAGCCTGCCCCCCACCATGCCACGCCAACGCCGGTAGCTGCCACATGGATCTATACATGTCCGTGCTCTCGTGCAGATCCCAAAGCACCCGATTGCCCAGCTGCCCCTTGTACGTGCGTGCCCCATCTGTGCTAGTGCTCACCCCAGCTTTGCCAAGCTTACGGAGGGAGATGAGGTTGGCCTTGAGATCAGGAACGAGGAGAACGTCGTGCAACACCACCGGCTTGCCATCCGCTCCCTTAAACGCAGCTCGTCCCGCACCAGCCACCTTCAGCGCGTGTCCAGAGGCGGAGCACACCTCGTTGATTGGTGCATCGCGTACGTGGTCCAGCAGGTCCTTGCGCGGCGTCATCGTCCAAGCAGCGCCCGTGTCCAACACCCAATAATCCAGGGGTTGCAGCTCTGCTCCAACCTTGGCAGAGGCGTCTTCTTGCTCCCCCTGCTCTCCCTGCTCTCCAATATGGAAGAACTGGCCCGCGGTGCGCTCCTTCTTCTTTTCTGCACTGCCGTTGCTCTTCAGGTTGTTGTCCGACGAATCAGCGACCATGCTCGCGCCGTTTTTCTGGTTCCTCCGTGCGCCGCCATCCTGGTGACGATTCTTGGGGGTCCATCCATCGGGTTTCTTATAGCATAAAAACCAAGGGTGCCCCTCCTTCTCACAATACCAGCAACTCCCTTTCATTTTGCCACCAGCACCCGACTTGCCCCCACGTCCAGATTTCGCACCGCGACCCCAACCGGTACCTCCTTGTTGGTCGTTGGAGTCGTCGTCCTTCTTTGCAACGCGTCCAGCACCACCGAAGACACGTCCTCTGCCACGTCGGCTTCCTTGCATCCCATAGGCGCTGCTGCCATCGTCTCCAACCCTCAGTTGGTGGCGACGAAAGTCCTCCTCCAGAATCTTTGTCCACACCCACTCGAGTGTCCACGAGCTCTGGTTCTGCGGCAGGCTCAATCCGCTCGTGAATTGAAGCCACGATTCCGGCAGCAGTGAGAGCATCTTCAGGCACTTGGTCTGCTCCGTGTAGGTGATTCCCACGGTCCTTAACTTCGCATAGAGGTCGCGCAATTTGTCCAGGACAGGTTGCACCGGCTCTCCCTCGCTTTGGCACAACGCGTACAGCTCCCTCTCCAGCATCAACGTTGCAACAACGGAGGTCGGGGCGTGCAGCTCCTTCAACACGGTCCACGCCTTCGGACCGCACTCAACCTCCGGCAGCAGGTGCCTAAACCCTGGTGACGCTGGTTCAGCTCCAAACTCTGCGACATCAAATAGTAGCCAGTCGACGAGCGCTCGTCCCAATCTTCCTGCAGCGCGGGGTCACTCGGTCTAGGCTCCTCCCCAATCATTAGTTTCAGCAATCTAATCTGACGGAAATATAGTTGCATTTTCCAGGCCCAATCATCATAGCCCTCACCATTGAACTTCTCGACGGTGAAATTCTTCAGCACCTCCTTGACCAGCGAGCCCTGGTTTGTTCGCGCTCCCCTTGGCGCTGAAACACCAGAATCATGGCTGCCGCTACGATTTTGGGCTGAAGATTCACCAGCTCCCGAATGACTTAGTAAAAATAACAAGAGTACGCTGCGCGACGTTCAAGGGGGAGATGGGATTCAGGACTAGCAGCTGTGATAAGAGCCTCTTTCTCAAGGGGGAGGGGGAGAAGCTGGTGCTGTTTCTGGTCTATGTGGACGATATTCTTCTCTTTAGCAGCAGCATGAAGGAGATCTAGAAGGTGCAGCAGCAGCTGATGGATAACTTCAAGTGCAATAACCTTGGGGAGGTAAAGTACTTGTTTGGTGCAAATTCACATTGCACGAGATCCTGCCATCTGTTTGTATCAGTATGCGTATGCGAATGCATTTGGGTGTGAATGGAATGTTCGTCTGTTTGTTTGCTTTCGCAATTTTCGCTTGAAGCATTTGCAGGTACTCGGGCATGATGCGCTTCGGCACAACATTGTACGCGCTATGAACAGTACAAGCAGAAAGGACGAGCTCGCAAAGGAACCCAAGATGGAAGCTTTGCAGTTCCGTTGAATTGATTGTGCAGATTCAGTTCTATCCAACTCGAAATTGTACTGTTTTGTTTGTTTAACTATAGTTTAGCAGGGTAGGCACTATGGAGGTACAATTTAGGTGAAGGTTGGATGTTGTTTGCCAGGGGAAACCAGCGGAACCAGCATTTTGCTGGTTGGGCTAACGATGCGGAGACGCGCTGGTCGATACAAGGGTACTCCTTAAGCCTTGGGGCAGGTGCTGTTTCGTGGCGGTCGACTCGGGCGTCGTCTGTCGCCAGTTCCAGTTGTAAGGTAGACGTGTACGCTGCGGCCATGGCCATTCAGGAGTTTCTCTGGCTGTCTTTCCTTCTCAATGACCTTGGTGATTGGCCTCGCTCTCCCCTAGTCTTGTTCGCCGACAACAGGTCTGCTACACTGTTGTGTGAGGAGCCTGCACTGGTTGGGAAGGAGAAGCACATCCAGCTTCATTGCTTCCTTCTGCATGAGGTGCAGCTCCGTGGCCAGGCCCGCGTAGTATGTATGGTCTCATGAGGCGGCTAAGGGCAGTAGTGGCAGGGGAAGAGTAGCGCGCAACTACAGCATCGTACAAGATCTTAGCACTCTTGTAGTGACTAAAGTGCGTGCACTAAGTGGACGGTAAGTGACTACGCACAGCAAGGCGGGCAGCAGCATCGCGTGTGGCCCACTATGAGCGAACAGTGCTATCACCATCAGCAGCAGGGGCAGTAGGGGCGCCAGATGTGAGATCGAACAGTGAGAGACCGTCCTTCCTATCGCACTGTAGGAAAAGCTGTAGATCATCGACCCAGACCTCAAAGTCAACAGCCAGACCCTCAGCATCAAAGACTAGAACGCTAGGGGTAGCCATGACAGCAGTGGCAGCGGGCTAGGGGCAGCAGTAGCACTCGTGGCTCGGCAGTGTTCTCACCAGGGCTGGTAGGTAGGGGCCGGCAGGCGGTGGGGTAGGGCCGAGGCACGTCGGCAGGGACAGAGCCGTGACCGCGGCGGCAGCTCCTGCTGGCAGTGGTAGCGGCAGTCGCGGCTGTCGGCGGCGACGGCTGCTGTTGGTGGTGGCCGCCGCTGCTATCGGCGGCGTTTGCTGCTGTCGGCTGCTGTTGGCGGCCGGCGGCGGCTGCTGCTGGTGGCGGAGGAGCCGAGAAGGGGCTGCGAGGGGCCTCGAGGGGCAGCGACGGGGCCGCTAGGGGCGGCGACGGGGCCGCTAGGAGCGGCGACGGGGCCACGAAGGGGCCGCGAGGGGCCAAGAAGGGCGGCGACGGGGCCGCTAGGGACGGCGACGGGCCACGAAGGGCGGCAACGGGGCCGATAGGGGCGGCGACGGGGCCGTGAAGGGCGGCGATGGGGCCGATAGGGGCGGCAACGAGGCCGCGAAGGGCGGCGACGGGGCCGCTAGGGGCGGCGATGGGGCCGCGAAGGGCAGCGACGGGGCCGCTAGGGGCGGCGACGGGGCCGTAACGGGCGGCGACGGGGCCGTAACGGGCGGCGACGGGGCCGTAACGGGCGGCGACGGGGCCGCGAGGGGCGGAGACGGAGCCGTGAGGGGCGGCGACGGGGTCGCTAGAGGCGGCGACGGGGCCGCGAAGGGTGGCGACGGGGCCGCTAGGGGTGGCGACGGGGCCGCGAGGGGCGGCGACGGGCCGCGAAGGGCGGCGACGGGGCCGCTAGGGGTGGCGCGAGGGGCCGTGAGAGGGGCCTCTAGAAGGGCGCGATAGGCCGCTTAGGGCAGGGGACGCGACGAGAGGGCGGCCCACGGGGCGCGCCTCGGGCAAGGGCGACTCGCGCTCCGGTTAGAAAAAAAAAAAAAAAAAAAAAAAAAAAAAAAAAAATCGATTTTCAGAGGTGGGCCCTATGAAGTGTTCCCACTAGGGAACCTGCTCTATACCATGTGAAGAAATGAGGAATGAATGAACTAGCAAGCAGGTGGGTACAAGTAGGAAAACCTAAATGTGTTGTACCCCATATTGTCTACTCCACTACAGCCTACACAGATTTAAGCATATGAGTTTGACACGAACCTGTCCGAACCGGTTATCCACACTTTGAGGAACGAAATGACCAATCGGCTAACATTGCATGGCAGTTATCTTTGATGTCAACCAGCAAAGTGCCCACCGACAAATTGAAACTCCCCAAAAAAAACCCTTATGGTGTTTAAATGAAGCGAAATCTCGGGAGCGCGTACCGCGCGGGATAGAAGGTGGCGTGTGTGAGTTTCGGGTTGTGAAAAAATTTGAGCGGGATAAGAAAAATTCACGAGACCAAATCCCGCGTCACGGTAATTCTCCCCTCAATCTGACTCATATCCAGGTTCTGACAGCTCGTGCTGACTGGACCCGCAGGGTCCGAATGTGAAGGGAACCGAATCTGAAGGGTCCGAATGTGAAGGGACGCGAATCTGCAACACATCCGCCTGCTAAAGTAAAAATCGTTACAGCGTTCTGAACACATTTCAAAATTTAAAGTTAACGTGCGCTTATAATAAAACAAGTTTTTTCAGGGTGTGCGCTTATAATCGAGCAGCGGATATAAGCGCCACACGCCAATTAAAAGCGCCAGGAGCTTATCCGAGGGTGGTGCTTATATCCGAGGTATGATGGTATTCTATAAACGGGGAAACGAAACCCTTCGAATCAAGTCGTACATTTTCTGGTTATTGTAACTAAGAAGGTTGGTTTCAAAGATTGCAGCAACAAGGCTCTGGCACATGCTCACAGCAGCTCACAGGTAGCGCATGCTGTGCTGTGCAGACAGCAAGGTTCACCCATGCACGGCATACTTGACATCGCACAGCCGCATCGCTGCCTGCACTGCATGCCTCCTCGCCTCACCATGCACCACCCCACCCCGCCCCTGCATGAGCTGTGCTGCCCTCTGCATGACTGCCAGCGCGCCTGCCTCTGCAGCCGTGTGCCTCAGCCACGGCACCCTCACCACGTTGCTCACCACCTCCACCGCCGCCGCTCCCTCCCTGGCTCTGCCCAGCACAGTGACCCCAGTGCCCTCAGCGCCCATCTCAGGGTGGCGCTGCCAGGGGTGGCGGGCAATGGCTTGCAGCAGGGCAGGCATCAGGCCGGCATGCACCATGTGGGAGCAGGCCGTCCAATCAGAGGAGAGCAGAGCCAGCAGGTGCAGGCAGCGCCGCCACAGCAGGCACTGCTCCTGCCGGGCCTCCTCCCTCAGAGCCTCCACTTTCTCTGCCCCCCATGCCCCTTGCTTCTCCGACCCACCCTTCTCTGCCCCTGCCTGTGATGCCGATGCACCTGCTGCTGCCGTTCCCTCCCCTCCACACGCATCTTCCAGCCCTCGCCCATTCCCCCGTATGTTCCCCCCACACCTCTCTTCCCCTTCCACTGACCTATCCTTGCCCCTCTCCCAGCACACAGCCACAGCACCACTCTTGCATCCCTCACGCTCCACCCCCTCCCTCTCCTTTTCCTCCGCCTTCCGCTTTGCCCCACCCTGCCGCCTCATCACCTGCCCGCTCTCTGCGCCCTTCCCCTCACGTGCGTCCCACACAGCCACCGCACTGCACCTCGCACCACAGCTCCTGACACCACACTCGTCCTCCACACCAACTTGTCCCTTGCCACCATCGCCCCTGCCAGTCTCTGCATCCAACATCACACACCCACTAGCATCTCTCTCTGAACCTCCTTCCCTACCCTCCCTGCCCTCCCTGCCCTCCCTCTCCTCCCTCTCCCCCCACCATGCAGGCAGCCAGGCCAGGCAGTGCCGGCTGCCGTGTGGACACCGCACACTTGCTCCCTCCCGCTCAACCCTCTGTGCTGCTACCACCACCGCCGCCGAGTTTGCTGCCAGTGCGCCATCAGAGCCATCAATGCGGCATTCCACAGCCTTTCTCTCGTCTTCCACTCCACCTCCCCACCATCGCCCATGAATCCCCCGCCCCCCCACCCCGCCCATCTCCATATCCACTGCATCCTCCTCAGCGCCCCGCCTGCCATCAACAGCAGCACGCGCACAGTGCTCGCCCGCCCCACTCCCCTCCCCTGCCATGCCCCCGCCCTCCCCATCACTCAGGTCTGCACCCCCTCCCTTACTCTCCCCACTCTCGCTGTCTCCCTCTTTGTCATTTACACCCTCCCTCTTGCCCTCACTATCCTTACTCTCGTCCTCACTATCTCCCTCCATTTCCTCACACTCCTCATTCTCCTCATCGCTCCCCTCACTCTCCTCACTCTCACTCTCCTCACTCTCACTCTCTCCACTCTCACTCTCCTCATTCTCACTCTCCTCAGTACCCTCATCCCCACTACTACTCTCACTCGTCCCGCCGCCCAACCCCCGTCCAAACAGAGTCTGCAGCAGCCTCAGCTGCACCTGTGAAAGCCCAGCCTCTCCGCGCTGCACTCCCCACCTCTCCTCTCCTCCCCCCTCCTCGCCATCCCCATCCACAACCCCAGCTTCCTCTCCTCCCCACTCCTCATAGTCCTCGTCCTCCTCCTCATCCTCACCCTCCTCACCCTCCTCATCCTCCTCCTCCTCCTCATCCTCCTCCTCCCCCTCCTCCCCCTCATCCATGTCAGTGTCACTCGCACTCTCCCCACCATCCGAAGCCATCGCAGCAAGCCCCATATCCACACGCCCATCCACACGCCCATGCACATGCCCATCCACATGCCCATCCACATGCCCATCCACATGCCCATCCACATGCCCATGCACATGCCCGTCGATATGCATCTGCCACAGATGCCACAGAGGCGTCTCATCCTCCTCGCTCTCCTCACTCTCCTCACTCCACCCATCCTCTCCCCCTGCACTCTCACCCTCCCCCCTTCCTTCGTTGCCGTCCTCCTGCTCCTCCACCCCATCCTTCACTCCCATCATCATTCCTCTCCACTCTCCCCCTCCCCCGCTCTCCCCATCTTTTGCCTCCACTCTCCCCCCCTCAACCCTCCGGCACACCTCCTCACCCCTCTCCTCCTCGTAACCTTCACGCCCCCCTCTGCATGCCCCCCCTCCCACCGCCATGCTCCCATCTGCATCCTCCCCGCCCCCCTCGCGCCTGTTCTGCTGGCTCTGCAACCCCTCGTGCCCCTCGTGCCCCTCGTGCCCCTCGTGCCCCTCGTGCCCCTCGCCCCGGCGCGCTGCCAGCACGGCCATCACGGCGCTCACAGCGTGCACGGCCCCGCCACCCACGGCAGCGTGCACCCCGCCTGCACTGCCCGCCACCTCACATACCACCTCCACCAGGGCTGCCTGCTGCCGTGCCACCCCCACCTGCTCCCTCCACCGCCCATACTCCTGCTCTTGCTCCTGCAGCCGCTGCTGCTGCTGCTGCATCATCTCCCCCTCCCCTCTGGTGCCCTGCTCTTGCTCCAGCCCCTTCATCTCGTGCTCCAGCCCCTTCATCTCTCCCACCCGTCCCACCATGCCCCTCAGCGCCCGCACCACCTCCCCCACCACTGCCCGTGCGCCCTCCCCCTCACCACCGCCCCCCTTCTCGCGCCCGCCCTGCCCACAGCGCGCCAGCAGCAGCAGCACCTCGCGGGCCACCTGCTGCCTGCGCGTGTTGAGCGCATTCAACAGAGTGGCGGGGGGCGAGGGGCCAGGGCAGGGCGCAGGAGGGTGGTTCAAGGGGGACAGGGGAGGAGGAAGGAAGGGAGCAGGGGATGGGAGGGTGGAGTGAGAGGGGGGGACGCAGGGGAGGGCAGCTGAGGCACGGAGCAGCATGGTGAGGAGGAGAGGGGTGGCGGTGACGGGCAGGAAAGGGAGAGGTGGGTCGGTGTGGCAGGCGAGCAGACCCACGGCTGTGGCTGCTGTGAGCTGGGCAAGCAGCATGCGGGGGAGGCGGGAGAGGGAAGGGGTGGCATTGGTAGAGTGGAGGGCGGGAAGGGGGGATGGAGGGGGGTAGGGCGTGCGGTTGGGTGACGGCTGCTCAGGCGAGGTGGCTGTGCTATCCCCCCCTCTCCTCGCCCTCTTCTCCCCCTCTCCCCCGCCACACCACTCGCCCTCTCCGCCTTCTTCCTCGGCCCTCCAATCCCCTTCTTCCCCCATCTCACCGGCACCTCCCTTCCCCATTCCCAGCAACCCCCTCTCCCCACCCCCCCTCACCCACCTTCCCCCAATACTCCTCTCCCCCGCCAGGGCATCCCCCAGCAGCGCCAGCAGCGCCTGCACGCCCCCTGCATGCACCATGCCCCTCCGCGCGCGCCGCTGCCCCGCCATGCCTGCCAGCGCGTGTGCTCCCCAGACCCTCACCGCTGCCACCGCACCGTGCGAGAACCGTAGCGCCGGACACACGGCAGCACACGCAGGCACGCACGCACATGTGCACTCACACATGCACTCACTGCTGCCCCTTCCATTCACACCATATCCCCTCTCAGCGCCACCCCATGCACCTCCCGCACACCCCCCTGTTTGCACACCCCACTCTCCTGCCCCCGCTTCCCTCTCACCATCCCGAGCTCTTCCTCCCCCTTTCCCCCTACCCCCACAGCCAGCACCCCTTCCACATTCACCATTGCCAGCTGCACCCCCGACGGCGGCGACGAGCAGTGCGAGGGAGGGCGGCGCGGAGGCGAGGAGCAGCAGGTCGAGGGACCGCGCTGCCAGACACAGCAGCACCGCCGCTGCCTGCTGCTGCCAGGACAGAGGGCACACAGGCAAGCGGTGGGTGGCACAGGGGGTGCGGTGCACTGCATTTACCCCCACTGCTTGATCCCCTCGCCCCGTGCCCCCTTCCCTCCTTTTGACTGCACCCACCTCCCTCACTCCCTTATCGCCTCCTGCTCCAGGCATCTCCCCGCTCCCATCGCTGGCACTCCCATCGCTGGCACTCCCATTGCCGGCACTCCCATCGCCGGCACTCCCATGGCTGGCAGTGGCACAGGGAGTGGCAGTGGCGGTGGAGAGCCAGAGGCGCACAAGGGGGAGGGCGAGGATGGCAGAGAGGCGCGGCGAGGAGGAGGCGGCGAGGCGCACGAGGATGGAGGCGGAGAGGCGAGCACAGCGCTGCCACACGCACGCAGGGCCAAGCAACGTGGCACACGAGCAGCGGTGCAGCGCGGACAAGCTTGCGTGCCCCTCCCTCTCTGCTGCGCATTCCGCTGCGCCCTGCGCTCTTGCCCCTGGCGCTGCCTGTGTCGCCCTGCCCGCTGCCCCTCCCCGAAAGCCATCACCCAGGCCAGGGGCAGCAGCGGTGGGCGAGGAGGAGGGGGCGACGCGAGGCGGAGGGAGGGGGTGTGCGTGCAGCAGGCGGGCGAGGTCAGGCAGAGCCATGCGCGCGATGTGATTGGCTGCTGGCAACGGGTCTGATGGAGAGGGGGGGAAGGTGGTGGGAGGGAGAGAGAGGGGGGAGAGGGAGGAGGTTGAGGTGAAGTAGGGTGAGCAGAGTGGAAAGCAGCATGAGGCTGAGCAGCAGAAAAGGCGCAAGGAACAGTGGAACGAGGCGAAAAGGCCGAGCGACCACGCAGGGGGGTGGTGGAAGGAGGAAAAGGCAGGGGCGGGGAGGGAGGGTACGGACCGAGTGTGAGGAGGTGGTGCAGGGCAGTAAGGGCAGCGAGCACGAAGCGAGGGTGTGAGTGGGAGAGCATGCGATGCAGTGACGGCAGCATGGCACCATATGCCTCCACCACCCACCGCACCCCCGCACTCTCCACCATCCCTGCTGCTGCTCCGCCTCCCCCAACTGTTGCTCCGCCTCCCCCAACTGTTGCTCCGCCTCCCCCAACTGTTGCTCCGCCTCCCCCAACTGTTGCTCCGCCTCCCCCAACTGTTGCTCCGCCTCCCCCAACTGTTGCTCCGCCTCCCCCAACTGTTGCTCTGCCTCCCCCAACTGTTGCTCCGCCTCCCCCAACTGTTGCTCCGCCTCCCCCAACTGTTGCTCCGCCTCCCCCAACTGTTGCTCCGCCTCCCCCAACTGTTGCTCCGCCTCCCCCAACTGTTGCTCCGTCTCCCCCAACTGTTGCTCCGCCTCCCCCAACTGTTGCTCCGCCTCCCCCAACTGTTGCTCCGCCTCCCCCAACTGTTGCTCCGCCTCCCCCAACTGTTGCTCCGCCTCCCCCAACTGTTGCTCCGCCTCCCCCAACTGTTGCTCCGCCTCCCCCAACTGTTGCTCCGCCTCCCCCAACTGTTGCTCCGCCTCCCCTAACTGTTGCTCCGCCTCCCCCAACTGTTGCTCCACCTGCTTCCTGCCTTTCTCCCCCGACTGCTTCCCCCATTGCTTCCCCCATTGCTTCCCCCCTTGCTTCCCCCATTGCTTCCCCCCTTGCTTCCCCCATTGCTTCCCCCATTGCTTCCCCCATTGCTTCCCCCATTGCTTCCCCCATTGCTTCCCCTGCACCAGAGCACGCGCCCACTGCAGAACACAAGAGCGCCCTGCCACCTCTTGCGCCATCCTCCCTCTCCTCCTGCCCTCGCCCTGCTCCACCTGCTGCCCTCTCCCTTCCGCCACCCTGCCCTTCCACCCCCTCCTCCCTTATCCACCCTCCCACCTCCTCTCCCCTCGTCCTCGCCTCTGTTCGCAAACCCCCACCCCTCTTGCTCGCGCCCATGCCCTCCTGCGCGCCCCTCTGCGCCCTCCCCAGCGCGCGCCCCCATTGGAAGCAGCCACGGCCGCGAGTGACGCCGCGGGCGATAGCGGCGACCAGCAGAGCGAGGGCGCGCGCAGCCTTTAGGCGCGCGGAGGGGCAGGGGGAGCGCAGTAGCAGGGGGAGCAGGCGTTGGAAGGGCGCGCGTAGGGGCAGCACGAGGGGCGAGGGGAGCAGAGAGCTGCGGGAGAGGGGGTGAGAGGCGGAAGCAGATGAGGGGCGTTGAGATGGCGGTGGGTGTGGAGGGGTAGGGGAGTGGCGCAGAGAGCGGCAGAGGAGGAGGAGGAGCGAGGCAGCAGCAGACTCGATGTCAGCCAAAGCAGTGGGGAAGCGCTGACACACATTCTCCCACTCCCGCTCCCCGCCCTCCCCGCCCTCTCCGCCGTTACCCCAGCATTCCCCGCACGCCAGCAAAGCGCCCCAGTCGCCGCTGCCAGCCACCACCACCGCCCTCGCCATCACGCATGCTTCTCTCTCCCCCATCCCTCCCCCCTTCCCCCCATTCGCTAGTCCGCCATCGCCCTTTTCCCCCTCCGCCAGCCCCCCCTCCCCTTCCGCCAGCGTACAGCGTGCGACCGTCGCCCCGGTCTCACCCGCCGTGCCACCAGACGTCCGCGCGTCTTCCCCCCTGCGCCCACCATCCACTTCTCCCTTCCTCCCCTTCCCCTTCTCGCCGCGCCGAGCCTTTTTCCTGCCTCTCCTGCTTTTCCCTTCCGCCTTCTTACCTCCCCCACTCTGCCCTTCCCCACTCTGCCCTTCCCCACTCTGCCCTTCCCCACTCTGCCCTTCTCCGCGCCGCGTGCCGTCCAGCCGCGAGTGGGCGGCGCGGAGGACTTCCAGGTGGTCGCACAGCAGGCTCACTGCATCTTCCAACCAGTCGCTCGCTGCCACGTCGGCGCATCGCTGTTGGTCAAGTGACGCAAGCAAAGAACGGACGGCGCGCAGCAGCGGGACGGCAGCGCGACGAGCGTACGAGGCGCGGGCGGGTTTGGGATTCTCTCTCGCCTCGCCAGGAGAACGGCTCGCCGCCAAGGGATCCGGCGGCATGACGGGCGGCGATGACATGACGGGCGGCGATGACATGCGCATGGCGACTGAGGCGGGACGACAACCGACGCGTGATTGATCCGAACGCGGAATGTACGCTGCTTCCAGAGACTCACAACGCAAGATACGCCTCCATCTAGCTGTTTGATATTTGAAGGCACAAGCAGCTACACATACAAAAAGCACTAGGCTTTAGCGTTTTGGGTGCAATCAAGGTATAATTGTGGCTAGTAGTGAATTATCCCTAAAATAACTGGTGATTAATATAGCTAGCGTAAATATACAGCAATGTAAATCCAAACAGCAGTGAATACGGGATGAGAGCAATGGATGCCAGTAGTGAACGTTGCCGTGCCAGCAGATGCCACAGCTGTACCCCCTCTTCCCCTCCTCCCCTCCATGGCACAGGAGTGTGTTGCACAGCACAGGCACTTCACTGCATGCGTATGGCAGCTCATGCTGCGTTCCGCTTGCACCCCAAGTGGAAGACACAGGCACTGTGACCGCATGAGATGAAAGGCACCAAGCACACAAGGGAGGGCGGCAATGAGTGGGTAGCGATGAAGGAGGGCGGCGATGAGTGGGTGGTGATGAGTGGGTGGTGATGAGTGGGTGGTGATGAGTGGGTGGTGATGAGTGGGTGGTGGTGAAGGAGGCGGGCCGTCAGTGGAAGCCAATGACGCCGCGCTTCTCCCCCGTGCCCAGGCAGCGTGCGCAGTAGCACCGCCCACTGCCCCTGCAGAACCAGCACCTGCGCCGGGGAGGACGGAGGGGGGTTTGGGGGGGAAGGGGCGGGGAGGGAGATAAGCCCAGGCCATGCGGGAATAGCAGCACCAGTGCCCCGGCGGAACCAGCACCTGGGAGCCGAGCGCTGCCAGCACTTACGGATTCCAGCGCTACAGGTTTGGACGTGTGTGCGGGTGGATGTGTGTGCGGGTGGATGTGGGTACGGGTGGATGTGGGTACGGGTGGATGTGTGTGGCTGTCATGCTGCTCACAAGCAGCCAGGTGAAATGGCAGAGGATACAGTAGTGGCAGTGGTGTTGTGTGAAATGGCAGAGGATACAGTAGTGGCAGTGGTGTTGTGTGAAATGGCAGAGGATACAGTAGTGGCAGTGGTGTTGTGTGAAATGGCAGAGGATACAGTAGTGGCAGTGGTGTTGTGTGAAATGGCAGAGGATACAGTAGTGGCAGTGGTGTTGTGTGAAATGGCAGAGGATACAGTAGTGGCAGTGGTGTTGTGTGAAATGGCAGAGGATACAGTAGTGGCAGTGGTGTTGTGTGAAATGGCAGAGGATACAGTAGTGGCAGTGGTGTTGTGTGAAATGGCAGAGGATACAGTAGTGGCAGTGGTGTTGTGTGAAATGGCAGAGGATACAGTAGTGGCAGTGGTGTTGTGTGAAATGGCAGAGGATACAGTAGTGGCAGTGGTGTTGTGTGTGCCTACATGGGTGCGAGCATGCGCCGAGTGCAAATACAGAGCCCAGGAGCCTACCAGCGCGGTCAGGAGCCTACCAGCGCGGCCAGGAGCCGGTGGGGAGCATGACGAGGTCAACGTGGTTGGTGCGGCCTGGCAGGCACGGGCAGGGGCAGGAGGGGTCGAAGCAGAACGAGCATTACTTATGCACCAGTGCACGCTTTGGGCAGGATACGGAAGACAACATACAAATAAAGAAAATCAAGCAAAGGGAACGCAGACAAACGATGGAGAGTAGCGAAGAACGGAGTGCAAGTGCTAATGCTAAAGAAACGGTCTCTCGTAAGTAGCCCCTCAATCATGTGCCCCTGCCTCACCCGCATCATGTGCAGCCCTCCCTTCTCTGCCTCGCCCGCATCATGTGCAGCCCTCCCTTCCCTTGTCGCCACTTGATTCGCCTCCCCTCGCTCCTCACAGCCCCGCCCCATTCCAGTCCAGAACCAACTGCCTACAGAAGTACCACCGCATCGCATCGCACTGCTTCCCATCAATCCTCTTCCTGTCCACGCCATGCTAAACCCCTCCTCCCCCCCCCCCCCCCCCCCCTTGTCCATCACACCTCCCACCCTCCCCCACGTCGACCCCCACCCCCGCAGCACGCACGCCCCTCCACCATGGCATGGGATGGGTGCCCCCCTCGCCCCTCCACCATGGCATGGGATGGGTGCCCCCCTCATCCCCCCGAACCCCACTACCCAGCCGCGCCCACCACTGCATCCACACACCCCACCCCATCACATCATCCCCAGCAAAGCGCCCACCATGCAAAGCGCCGTTCCCACACCCTCCCCCCCACCCCACCCCCCTTCGCCCCCCCCTCTTCCCCCCTCCCCTCCCCACCTCCCTGTCCCCCCCCCAAGCACTCGCACCTCGGCCGCAGCAGCGGGTGCACTCCACTCGCCCACTCCCCCTGCAGTCGGGGCAGGGCGGGTCCGCACGGGGACACATGGGGATGCCGCGCTGAGGGAGTGGGGAAAAAGGACGGGGGGAGGAGGAAGTGGGTGTGGAGGGGGGGAGGGAGAAGCGAAGCTGAAAGGATTTAGAAACGAAAGGGGGTGAAGGCGAAAGGGGGTGAAGGCGAAAGGGGGTGAAGGCGAAAGGGGGTGAAAGCGAAAGGGGGTGAAGGCGAAAGGGGGTGAAGGCGAAAGGGGGTGAAGGCGAAAGGGGGTGAAGGCGAAAGGGGGTGAAGGCGAAAGGGGGTGAAGGCGAAAGGGGGTGAAGGCGAAAGGAGCAGCTTGCTGTGCAGTCAGGGCAGGAGGGGTGGGGCCAGCGCGATGGTTGGGAGAGCGAAGGGACAGGACGGGACGGGGAAGGAGGGGGAGAGAGGGGGAGGGAAGAGGAGGGGAAGGGGGGAAGCGGGGGAAGAGAAGCGAGAAGAAGAGGGAGAGGCGAGAAAGGGTGCGGTTAAGATGAAGTGGTCGCTGCTGGAGGAAGGCTAGCGCGGCCGGGGAAGGGCGATGGGGTGAAGAGGGTAGCGGGAAGGCGGATATGGGGCACTATGGGGGGAGGTAGGGCGGTGGGGGAAGCAGGGAGAGGGGAGCGGAGCGGAGGAGAGAGAGGGGGCGTGTTAGAGTGGAAAGGGAGAATGTGCTTGAGTGCACGTGGGTTGGCCTTCACATCCCACCGACCCTATTGCCTTCTCCGTCCACGTGGCATCCCATCTTCATGGAACGAATTTCGCGTAGCACGGCGCACCGCAAGGTGTATTGCGTCTCAAGCTCACCGGCGTGTCGACCATCCAGCGGCCATCGCGGCGTCGGCGGCGGTCGTTGCTCCACGCCGTTGCGATCTCCTCCACCAGCGACGGCCGCGCCTTCTCCGGGCGACGCGGCGTCTTCACGGGCCGCTTTTTCCGCCGCCACGACTCGCGCTGCCACGTGGAGCCAATGAGCGATGGCCGCAGATCGCGCAGCGGATCCAGCGGGATTCCACCGTCATCATCCCTAGCGTCACCGGTGACGTCATTTCTTACGTCATCATTGCCACTAGTGTTGAGAACCGTATTCGTCCCTAACCTGTCGAAGGGGTCGGTCCGAGCCTTTGAGGGTTCCGCATTCAACGCGCCAGCCCTCACGAGGGGGTCGTTGCAATTCACGGGGTCCGTTCCCTTCCTAATGCTGGCCTTGTCGAGGCTAGCGCGACTCGCAAGGAGTGGTAATGGAGGTTGAGAGCACGCGACGTACGCGGCGCGAAGCGTTACCGTTAGAATCATGGGCAGACCCTACTGTGGCCGACGGGTCGTCCACAGCGACAGCCTTCTCCGCCGCTGCAAGCTCTGCTGCCGCGAGGAGCCAATCGAAACGACGAGGGGAGGCGCGACGAGAGGAGGGGGGGCGCGCCGAGGGCAAGAGAAGCGCGACGTGGGAAGGCGCATCAGAAAAATGTCGAGGCCATATTGGGTGGTAAACGCTCTCATAGGCCTCGTTTGTGTTGTGCTGACGATGATTTCTTCTGAGGGCAATAAACCACTAAGGGTATTGCCCTTTGTGACTCGAAAATGTAGGGGGGTACAAACAAGAATATACGCGTGTTTGTTCAGCAACAGTGTCGGAGAGTAATTTCCGGTTGATCGGGTTTGTGCGGTAGTAAACGGTCGTTTTCGAGTGGGGTAGTTTAGAATCGCAAACGAGGAGTGGGGTTCACCACCGTTTACACTGCCCTACATATATGGCGAGATGGTGGGCATAAACGCTAGCAAACGACTGCTTGTGATCGTGCCAAATTTCGAGCGTGATTAGGGGCAAATCGCGTGAGTTACCAGTTTGCGACCTTAACGAGAGCATGTAACTGCACAATGTTACACTAGTACACTTCGGAACCATCATTTGATTCTTAAACATTGCTCTTCATTGTTTTCCAGTAACCTGGTAACACAAAACGGCAAATCGAAACAGAGCTGGTTTTTTATAAATAAATAATAACGACAATTATAAAAGCAACAATAACAGCAATAATCATCATGAAGAAAACAAACTATTATAATTGCTCATTCTACAAGGTTTCGATAATTAAGTTTCCTTTGCAACTTGCAGGTTACCCGAATTACAAATCAACAATATTCAGAATACCATTTTCCAAAATACTTTCATAAATCAAAGCATACGAAAAACGGTTTTTACATTAAAGATCACCATGCCTGTATCCTACTGATAAAATACAATTACCGAGCGCCTGATTCGACTAACTCAAAGCAGGCTGCTACTTCAATCAGCAATTTCGTGACCATACTAATAGTACAACTTGAGGAAAGTAGAACGAGAATGAGTTAACTAAGGAATGGAAGTGATACAAATATGCAACCCTAGAAATGTGTACCCCACAGGGGCTACCCCACTATAGCCTACAGAATATTATAACTCGACACACCCCCATAGGCAAAGTGGGGGAGAACAAGGGGTCACAAGACCAGTCAAGCAAAGCTCAGGGTGGATCACAACGTCACCACACAGTCTGAGCACAAGGTCAAGGCCAGAAGGCCAGTTCACATGCAGGAGTACACATAGATATATATGACTAAACAAGCAAAAGCAGGTGTATATATATATAAGAGTACAAGCAAGGTCAAGAGGTGAGCAAGTGAGGCAAGACAGGTACAAGTCCCAGCTGAGTGCAGAAGCGCTGATGATCACAAGGCGGAAGTGCCTTGGTGAAAACATCAGCAGTGTTGGCCTCAGAGGCCACGTACGCAAGTCGCAACTGACAACGCTGCTACAGCTCAAGAGCAAGAAAGTAACGGAGAGCAATGTGCTTCGTTCTGTGCTCCAAGCTTTGCTCTCGACACAAGGCCAGCATGGCCTTGTTGTTTACGTACAGCACTGGAGGAGAACGAGGCGGCTCTTGAAGGTCGGTCAGCAGGTAGGTGAGCCAGCGAAGCTCCTGTGTGGCCATGGCCCCGGCGTAGATCTCAGCCTCACAACTGGAGCCGAGAACAGAAGACGAGCGAGTAGCTCGCCACGAAACAGAGCCGGAACCAAGACTGAAGGTGTAACCTTGCGACCACCGCTGAGTAGTCTGGTCGTCAGCCCAAGAAGCGTACGCGTGCCTAGTGAGGACCACTGGACTCCACCCTCCAAGCACTAGCCCCATGCCCGACGTACTGCACAAGTAGCGCAACACCCTCTTCGCAGCAGCCATGTGCTCTGGTCGGTGTCTCCCAGGAGCAACATAGCGTGCAAGAATGCTAAGAGGGTATGCAAGGTCAGGCCGTGTGCAGGTCATCACGTACATGAGGCAGCCAACAAGCTCTGGGTACGGGCCACTCGACTCTACGGACTCATCCGAAGGCAGAGCTGAGAGCGAGTGGCGAGTAGACAGAGGAGTGGCCTGAGGCGAGGAGTAGGTGAAGCCGAAGCGCTGAAGGACCTGCTGCACCATGTGTGACTGAGTCAAGGTAATGGTGCGGCGTGCTCTGTCCCGGGTGATCTGCAAGCCAAGGTAGCTGCGCAGTTCACCCAGGTCTGTGCACGTGTGTCTCTTCTGCAGCTCGGACTTCATGTAGGCGAGTCCAGAAGTGTCAGCTGTGGCAAAGACCAATTCGTCGACGTACACGAGGATGTAGAACGGCGGCAGAGATGTGTCGGTGCGCAGAAACAACGACGGGTCAGCAGTAGAGGGAGCAAACCCAAGAGCCGCAAGCGTAGTCCTCAGTGTGTCGTGCCACTCACGCGGTGCCTGGCGGAGACCGTAGACTGGCCGTCGGAGGCTCCACTGGGTGCCAGGAGGGAAAGTCCTAGTGAAGCCAGGTGGACGGCGCAGCCAGATCTCCTCGTGTAGGCTATCCTGCAAGAAAGCAGTGCTGAAGTCAAGAGAGTGAAGCTCGTAGTCGCGCTGAGTGGCTATGTGCAGCAGCACCCGAAGAGTGGTCATCTTCGGGGTGGGAGAGAAGGTCTGAAAGTAGTCAACTCCCTGCCGCTGACTGAAGCTACGAGCGACGTACCGCGCCTTGAAGACAGGTGGAGAGCCCGGCGGCCGCTTCACCCTGAAGATCTACATGCCACTGACGATGTTCGCCCCAGGAGGGGGAACCGCGTCAACGTAGGTGCCTGTGGACTTCCAGGAAGCCATCTCTACATCCATAGCTGCCTGCCACTGAGAGGAGTAGGGACCCTTGATCGCCTCAGCGTATGATCAAGGAGTCGGGATGTCTAGTGCATCCGGGTCTCACGTAGGGGCAATCAGCGAGGACACGAGATGGGGCAAAGCAGTCGCAAAGCACTGGAACTCCTCCTGCCTGTCCTCAAGGACGTCCGTGCTAAGAGCACACTCACCCTCGACGGACGGAGGACAGAGAGAATCGGACGCAGCAACAAGACTGGCAGCGTAGTCTAGTCGACAGCGAGCAGCAAAGTCGACAAGCTCAGCAACAAGAGCAGACGCAACAGTGGACTCAAAAGAGGGGTCAGTGACGACAGTAGCAAGGAGACGCGTGACAGTAGGACTGGCAGCACGAAGAGAGTCCAACTCCGGGTCGGCAAGCGCAGGAAGAGAGGACGCAGGAGGAGAAGGCAAAGGGACACGCAGAGGAGCAGTGGACGGACGCAGAGACATCCGGTGCGTGCCAGGGACAGGAGGAGGACGCTGACGCGAACCGCGACCACTAGCGCGAGCAGCACGAACAGGCGACGCGGGACGAGACGCAGGCTCACAACGCTCAGCAAGACCTCCAGTAGGACTAGTGTAAGGAGAGGGAGCAGGCAGTGGGGAGGCGGGCTCTAACTGTGACTGTGACTGGACAGGCGGTGGACACTCTACAGGAGGAGGAGGACCAAGAACCTGCTGAAGGAGCGGAACGAAGTACGGCCGAGGCCGCGCGGCAACTCCACACACAGCAGGGACAGCACCAGCACCCTCAGCGGGAGCACCAGCGCCAACAACACCTCCAGCTGCAGGACCTCCAGCAGCACCAGCAGCACCCGCAGCAGGACCACCGCCAGGACGGACAGCAAGAGTCTCAGCACCAACACCCTCAGCAGCTCCAGCCCCAGTCGGACCCGCAGGCCCAACAGCTCCGGGACCGGCGGCACCAGCACCCTCAGCGGCCGAAGAAGCTCCAGCTCCAGTTTTATGCCTCCAGCGGCAAGCAAACCACTCGCGAAGCTCCTGTAGAGAGAGTGGCTCCCGCCGAGACGAAGCACCCGGAGAACCTCCAGGCCCAGCACCGCCAGACGACACAAGGGGAGGTCCAGCGGTCGCAGGCTCCGCACCTCCAGGCTCAGCAGCTCCAGACGCAGCACCCCCTGGCTCAGTAGCTCCTGACGTAGCACCCCCAGGCTCAGCACCCCCAGGCTCAGCACCCCCAGTCGCAGTACCCCTAGGCTTAGCACCCCCAGGCTCAGCACCCCCACTCGCAGCACCCCCAGACTCAGCACCCCCAGGCTCAGCACCCACGCGCGCAACACCCCAAGAGTCAGCACCCCCAGGCTTAGCACCCGCAGTAGTACCGGAGTCACCTGCAGCCTCGACCGGCTCGACTGCGTCTACCTGGGACACACCTGAAGGGGCAGGACCCTGAGGGGGAAGGGGGTATACCTTGGGGGGACCTGGCACACGGAAGTGCGGTGGCGGGGGGAGGGAAGGAGTGCGGTAGGGGAAGAGGCGGTAGAAGGGGACTGACTCGTCGAACGTGACGTCCTGGGAGGACAGAACACGTCGAGAGGAGGGGTGGTAGAACTGCCACCCTGGTGCGTCAGGGGGGAAGCCAAGGAAGACACAGGGAGCAGCAGGAGGGGACAGCTTGTCCGCAGACAAGTTGCGGACGAATGCCCGAGATTCCCAGACATGGAACGCACACGCATCGCCGACCTTCCCCGTCCACAGCAGAGCTGGGGAGGTCTCCGGTCGGGAGACCCTAGGGTGAAGGTTGATCTGATGCGCCGCAACTGAACCGCAAACGGCCACAGAAAATGGGGGGCAGCCGCATGCATCATGGACGTACGAGCGACGTCCATGACCATGCCAATGCGGCGCTCAGCAATCCAATTTTGCTGTGGAGAGTCCGGAAGCGTAAAGGTCTGGTGGATGCCTCGCGCACGACAGTAGGCTCACAGAAGGCCAGAGGAGAACTCTCCGCCTCGGTCAGAGTGCAGACGCAGAACAGGAAAGTCCGAGCCGAAGCTCCTCGTGAGCTGGAGACAAGCAGCGCGGATCCAGTCGATCAACACCTCAGTAACATCACCCTTGCTGCGCAAGGGGAAGACCGTGGTGTAACGCGAG